GCCAGCTGGTCTTGCATTCTTTGGGATAAAATAAGGATAGGATTTCAACAAATAATAAGAGGACAGTAACCAGTACACAATCTGATAGGGTGAGTGTTCCTTAGGAAAAACCCTCCATATAGAAGTATAAAATTAGTGGAGAACTGTTCATCCTTAGGAAAGGAGAACCCCATTTGCATTCATCTACTAGATATTCATTATGTATTATGTGCAAGTTACCTTGCTAAGTACTATAGACAGAAGACACAAGATAATTATAAGATATAGTCCCTGTTACTTCCCTGTTAGAGTAGTGGTTAGGAATCCACCTGCCAATGCAGGGTACACAGGTTCGAGCCCTGGCCCAAGAAGATCCCACATGCCACAGAGCAACTAAGCCCATGTGCCACAATTACTGAACCTGCGTTCTAGAGCCCGCACGCTGCAACCACTGAACCCACGCACCGCAACTACTGAAGCCCACGCACCTAGAGCCCGTGCTCCACAACCAAAGAAGCCACTGCAATGAGAAGCCCGTGCACCGCAATGAGGAGTAGCCCCCTCTCGCCGCAACTATAGAAAGCCCATGCACAGCAACAAAGACGCAACACAGCCCAAAAAAAAAAGATATAGTCCCTGCTTAATACAATCTACTCAGGTAGCTATGCCATTTATAAAGCTCTTAGAAAAGAGCCTGACACATAGTAATTAATATGTACATGATTGATCAAAGTATACAATAACAATGCTAGTTAAAACATATTTAGCCCTTGCTATTTGCCAAACACTTAGCAGTAATCTCTTTTAATGCTTATAACAAGCTTATAAAGAAGGCAGTATTATGATCCTCTGTTTGCAAATGCGACCTAGAGACAATAAACAAATAAATTTTTGTTCCAGATCATAGAACTAAGAAAACCAGGACTTCAACTAAGTTGTCTGGCTCCAGAGCCTCTTAAACATAATACTGTATTCTACCCCCTCCACCAGGTGATGCTCTCTGTGTGAGTGTATGAGACTGGACATTTAACATTCTAGAACAAAAAATTAGGCACCCCCCCACCACAAAGCCCCGCAATATCAACTATTTATATCACTGCACTGTCTTCTGATTACTAGCAGTGTACAAAAGTGTTGCAATTGGTCTATATCTGTTTTAGCTCTTTTCACTCACTATTATTTTATATAAATAGTTCTGTACACTTAAATTCCACTAGCTTATACATCATATGCATGCCAGTAGCCATTTAAATATAGAATCCTTGTCTAGTTCATTATTGCTAGATATTTAGGTTGCTACTTCATTTTCACTATGATGAATAACCATATTGCCATAACAAGCTATAAACATATTCCTTTGGTTAACAAGCCCATTAGTGAGATTGCTCAAACAAATTATTGGATCAAACACTATGAACAGTGTTGTGATCCCCGACCCACAGCAGGTTGCTCTCCAGAAGGACTGGCCAGTTTACAAAGCCAGGAGAAACGTGTTGGTGCATCCCTTAGTCCCTAATCCTGCCAGTGCTTAAAAAAAGAATCACTGGGTTAGTTTTGCTAATTTAACAAATACGGTAGAACCTCACGCTGTTCCAGTTTGAATTTCTTCATTATTAGGGAAACTGTTCCATAATTTCCTACCTATATTTTTCTATGCGTAGAATATTTGTTTTACCCTTTGTCTTTCTTATAAATTAAGGAAATACTTTTTTTAAAACCATGAGGAACAGTGTATAAATATTAATCCTCTAAATAACTGAGAAATTCTCATATTCAGTTTCACTTGATTAATAGTTTTGAATTACCTCAACTCTATACAGATACCATCATAGGACCCTAAGACATTATAAAATAAAAATAACAGTAATTGTCTAAGAAGTTGGAGATGGTGCCAAGTAATAGCAGATATCTGACAGTACCATATAGAAATATGATTCTATAAATGGAAATACCACTTTTCCAATTACTCAATGATGCTCAGCTATTTTGTTTTCTTTAAGTTTCAGGCTCCTGTGAGAATCTGACAAAAACCTATGGGTCATCTCCATAAAAGATACCCATATGCATACATTTTGCACAAGGTCTCATAGATTTCCATGGGTCACCAGTTAATGATTCCCGTTACAGCAGTGTTATCTCTATCACTTTTTTCTTCAAAATGTTTCTCCTAACTACCCTCTTCTCTACATCCCATTGCTGATCCCCTTGGTCTGTATCTGAGTTTACAGAGAGGAACGGCACGAGAAAAAAATATAAATGGACACTTACCGTTGCTCTCATTACAGTGATGAGATCCGTGATGGAGTTAAGGCCAGAGTGCCGTGGAGGTAGAGCCATCACTCTACTTCGAGTCATCACTGCTCACCCCAGACAATTACAATGCTTCCTAACTGGTTTCAATCTCTCCTTTGCCTTCTGCCCCAATTCAATTTTTTTTTTTTCTTTTTGCGGTACGCGGGCCTCTCACTGCTGTGGCCTCTCCCGTTGCGGAGCACAGGCTCCGGACGCGCAGGCCCAGCGGCCATGGCTCACGGGCCCAGCCGCTCTGCGGCATGTGGGATCTTCCCGGACCGGGGCACAAACCCGTGTCCCCTGCATTGGCAGGTGGACTCCCAACCACTGCGCCACCAGGGAAGCCCCAAAGAAAACTTTTTAAAAAGTAAAAATCTTGAACTACTCCTAAAATAAAAGGATAAAAGGTGTGGTGATAGTTAACAGTCTGGTACTCATATCTGAAACTTACCTACTATTGGAAAAATTAGCATGAGAAGGCCAGATCTGAAATTTTTATAAAAAGGAAAGCTATCATACATTGTATTTGAAAAAAAAATCAGTGCAAACACATATTAAAGGATTAAAACTACATAGAAAGGTTATTAGGTTAAAAGTAGAATTCACTCTCTTATTCATATTCATACATATATATATATATATGTAAAATGTATACAAATTAACCTATTCTACATACTATTTTGCAATTGCTTTTAAATTGCTTTTTTTTTAATTGCAATTCCTTTAGAAAACTTATCTTGGAGGTTTTTTAAAATTACATCACTCAAGGCTAAACTAATTCTTCAAAGGTTGAGGAATACATTTGACTAGATAGGCCATAACTTATGAATAGGCATTTAATTTAGATTATTTCTACAGTTTTTCTATTTCAAAAATGTTTCAATAAATATCTCTGTATATATACACGTACAAATACAGATTAATATAGATCATATATATTATATATAATAATATATAATGTGATATCTAATTTAATTGAACATATTTGTCAGATATGCACATATAGGTATATATGTAATTTTCCTGAGGATAAAGCAAGTTCCTAGGAATAAAATATTTGAACCTGATACCATCAAATTGCTCTTCTAGACACCAATTATGCTTTTAGCAATAAAATTTGAAAATTCTTTTTTTCTTATACTCTCGACAACTTTTTTTTTGGGGGGGGTGAAGTAGAAAAGGATAGCTTTATTGCATTACCAGGCAAAGGAGGACACAGCAGGCTCCTGCCTCGAAAAACTACGTGTCCCTACTCTTGACAACTTTGGACATTAGTTAAAAATTATAGTCATTCCCATGAATTAAAACAAAATGGCACCTCATATTATTTCGCCTTTTTTTTTTTAAATTATAAAGGCATACTAAATGATGCTAAATCTCACTCAAAATTAAGGAGTACTTGCTTCAGTGGTTTGGTTCAAAAGGGCTATGGGTATATGTAACAAAGGTCATGGAGATGAGATGCCCCTAAGGAGAGTTTAAATAACTAAGTAATGATCACTTCATTTGTAATATGACACCATCATATACAGTTCAACCCCTACAATTTTCACCTATGTAAGAAAGCTTATTGTTTTCCATTAAGCATATATCTTCCCATTATATCACAATGGTCTTCTAATGGCCAAATAAAATGGATACTTGTAGTACTCCTATTACTTCCCTTCTCGTCAGTTTTTGGCATTAACAGTACAGTAAGCCCTCTTTAAGATTTTCTCTTCTTTTTGCTTCTAGAACATGTGCTCTGCGTTCTCTCCAACTCTAGTATCACTCCAAGTTTGATTTGATTACAAGATACTCTTCCTTGGTACATCCCCTCCCCTTAGTGATCTCTTAAAAGTTGGCCTTTAGTATCTTCCACAATACATCACACACTCTCTGGCTTATCTCTTCTATTTTCATATTACTAACATGGTGATAAGTTATAAATTTTGATCTTGACTTAGCCCAGATAGCTTCTCCTGGGATAGTTACCTATTTAGTTGAATAGAAATCTCATTCTGAATATTCCACAGGAAACTTAACACATCCCCAGACAATTAGCTTTTCTCTTTTCCTCCTCTACCACCAGCAAAATTCCTCACTTCCTTCTCTGTGTTCTATCCGGTAAACAACAACACAATCAACAAATCACTCAGGACCCAAGCCTGGATTGACACCTTCCACAGCCAGCTAATCATTCTTGCATCGGTTCTAACCCTCAAATAGTTTTCCAACACATCCCACTTTGTCTTTCACACTACTACCACCACCCTAAAACAGTCCAATATATGTTTTTTGAAGGGACACATGAGTGAATGTATTGGAAAGGAAGATGATAAAGAGAGAAATGATGGCACCCGGTTCCCCATATTAATATCCACTAGAAGAGGTTTTAGATTCTGTCTTTCAAAGTGTTTTTTTAGAACTTGAGTTCTCTTCATTCAATGTCATGAAATGCCGCTGAAGTTTTCTTGCACGAAGTTGCCTTCCTTCCCTCTCCCTCCTTTCTTCTCCTTCTCCCTTAACTCTTGCCTTTCTCTGGATCCCTCTCCCTGGCCCGGCGTCCTCCTCCCAGCACGCTGGTCAGCTCCTCTCGCGGAGGGCTCGGGTTTAGCCCCGCCTACGCGGAGCCCAAGTCACGAGGCCGCGGGTCGGGTGCAGCTCAGTGGGCGGGGACTCGTCAGCGCGCATGGGCGGAGCGGGGCGCGGGCTGCACCAGCTATATCTGCGCCTGCGCGGCGCCGCTGCTGGGCCAGTCGGGACGGAGGAGACAAGATGGCGCTGCGAGCGATGCGGGGCATCGTGAACGGGGCCGCGCCTGAGCTTCCCGTATCCACCAGTGGGCCCGTGGTGGGGTCTCGAGAACAGGTGCTGGCAATTAGCCGGAACTACCTCTCCCAGCCTCGTCTCAGTGAGTATCAGAGAGCAAGACGAATCCTGTCTTTGCTCTTAGCCCAGCCCCTTGCTCCCACTCACCTGCTTAGCCAGAGGGGTGGGATGAGGGGGTTGTTTTTCCCTCTCGCGTCCCCCTACTCCGACGTCTCTCTCTTGTAGGCGATTTGAGTGTACCTTAATTTCCGTGCCAGGGGTGGGCTAAGGGGAAGAGCACCAACGGGAACTTTTTCCAGGGTTGGTGGTCTCCTGGCTGTTGCCCCACCGGTGCTCTCCAGTTTCCCGAGGCTGGAGCATGCTCAGGCACTTGCTTCCTGTCTCTGAGCGAAGGCCACTTCTTGCCACTCTTATCCTAATCTTCTGCTGACCTCATTTGGATCTGCAGGGGTCGAGGGAACCGCCCCTCCCCTTCCCCCTGCCTCGGGTGTGGACCTCAGGGCAGGTCCTGAGATCCTGCCTAGGGGGACGGTGTAGTGTCATCGCTGACGCACTCAGGCCTTTCGTGGATGGAGGTCAGGCCCACAGCCAGAGGGAAATGTTCTTCAGTGGAGAAGCTGCTCCGCAGGACGACACCTAGATATCAGAGAAAGCTAGAGCTGAAAAGTACCCTGCGGGTCATCTAGTCTAACCCTCTCATTTTACAGTGAGAAGCCTAAGGTTCTGAAAGGGACAGGGCTTGCCAGGCTTTAGACCCCTAATTACTGGCAGAGCAGGAAAATTCCAGGTTTCTTAATTCTTGCTGGACCTTTTTCTGCCATTAATTTGATTGCAAGGCTATCTTGGAGAAGACAAGAAGCTTTGCCCATATTATTTAGCAAATATGCAAAGCATATGCATAAGCATGTTTAAGTGGTGTGATTGTAAAAAGACCTTAATAAACCAGGCTTAAGTGGACTGTTCAGCAGTTTCGAAAGAAATGGTTCTTGATGACTAAACAATAAAATTGTGTAGCATCAGACCTCTTCACAGTTTCCTTAGGAACCGGGGATGAGCACTGGAAGTAGACTCTTTAAAACTTAGGAAAGCACCTGATGTTTTCCAACGTGGTGAGACTGTATTTGCACCGGTTAATTGCCACAGCACCTCTCTGTGGGTGGCTCATTGGTTAACAAGAATTTCAGATGAAGGGTTTCAGTCTGAGCGCTCTCCTGCCTGACTAATCCCATCCTCATCAGTCAGTGGGTCAGGTCATGTGGCAGCACTGCAGTGTAAGGAAGAAAGAAAAGACTTGATTCTATGGTTTGCAGAGATGTGTTTTTTTTTAATTGAAATATAGTTGATTTATAACGTTGTGTTAGTTTCAGGTGTACTGCAAAGTGATTCAGTTATATATATTATATATGTATATATATTCTTTTTTAGATTTTTACCCATTAGAGGTTATTACAAGATATTGAGTATAGTTCCCTGTGCTATACAGTAGTTCCCTGTTGGTTATCTGTTTTATGTATAGTAGTATATATATTTTAATCCCAAACTCCTAATTTATTCCCCCCATGTGCTTTCTATAATGGGAATTATTTGCATTAGAGAGTGCTTGTTGAGAGTTTACATGAGCTGAATGTTTCAAGAAATTGACAGATGTTGCATTCTTATGACAATAAATTTGTGCCTAACAGTTACAAATACTCTTTTTATGAATTGCATTTGTATGCTTTGCTGTTCTTTGGGTAGAACAGATAGACATTAGTGGTGCTTCTAGGAAAAGATTATAAGGGGCAGTAGTCATTTTTCCATATAATTATTCACTCCATCTCAACTCAGAGTATCAATTGAAATAATAACATAGTTCAAAGAGTACTCCATGATTGAGGTTGTAAACCCTTAAGGGAGATGAGTATGATTTCTCAACATTCTGTGTGTGCTTAGCCAGTGACTGAAGAACTTCTCCAGATGAGATTCCTCCTGACAACATTGTTGCGACATAATGCTTAAAACTGAAACTTCAGGGTTCAGGAATCCTTTTTGTATCCTCAGTGCCTAGCGCAGTGTTGGCACATAGAAACATTGTGTTTTGTAATTGTATAACTGGCATTTAAACCCCTTGCTCTGATAGTTTAGTATATGGATCTTTAATGTAGATGGAACCAGAGTAGGGAGTTGGGGTACTTAGTTTGAGTTTCACTTCTGTGTCTGGGTTATTCTAAAAAGCACAAATGATATCATACTTAGGCTAACAGCTAACTGCATTTGAATGTCATCTTTTTCCTGTATTGCCACATTCTTGATTCGAGTTAACACTTTTAATTGCTTCTGAATAAATATTAACTTCTTAATTTTTCTGATTAAAGATCGATGTTACCATCCTAGGTAAAAAGTTATAGTTATTTAATGTGTGCTTTTTGAACAAAGGAATGGAATATTGGCAGTTCCACTGTACAGATTGGATCCTGGGGCCATTAACAAGAGATGGAAAATGAGATATGCAGGCTTGAAATAATCTTGAGCACATTAGTTGAATTTCTAAAGTCACAATGAAAGAAAACTTGATTTCCTTTTAAACTTTGAGCAAGGTTCAATAATATACGAAGAACTTTTGGATGTTAAACGTTTTAGATTAGATAATCTCCTTTGTTCTTGAGATCCTAGATCAACTAATCTTAGTTTCTTATGTCACAAAGCAGAGTTAGCCTCAGTGAAAAGTCCAGTAAAGGAATGGTCGGCCTGCCTTTTTCCAGAACCTCTCCCTCCTTGCCCACTACAAAGTGTGGGTCTTTACTTTTCTTGCACAATAGAAGATGATTGTTCCGGTTTTGTTTTGCTAATAAGGTGGAGGCTGAAGGACTAGATCTCTTATTGTGCAATGACTGTCGAATGTTCTTTTTGAAAGTTTCACAATCATTAAGTAGTGTTAGTTCTGTTGAACAATCTCATATCCTATAGGAGGAAGAGGATGTCATCTAACAAAATATGTGCTTCTTAAAATCTTTGTAGATTTTGGGTTTTAAATGTCACTCCATAAATATTTATTGTCTTCATAAATATTCAGGATCAAAGATGTAAACACGTGTCTGCTGTGTTTTCAGAAGTTCTGATCATCCCCTGCAGACCCAAGTTCTTCTTCATTTGAAATTTTCAAGAGAAGAGTGGTCATTATTGTTTCTAAACAGAAATATTTATGTGATTTGTGAATGGGTATTGACTTTTTGAAGATCAGCTTTATGTCTTTGGCAGCTTTAATCTAAATTGTTGTCTCTGCTTTGGACTGTTAATACTAATGGTGAGAAAATCTGGGTAAACATTGTTGCGAGATAAAAGGTGGTATTTGATATTATTTTCTCTTCTTGTTCCCCCCCCAGTAGTTTTACTGTTGTGGAAAGGAGCTATAGTTTGTATATAAACTGTTTTCTACTCCCTATTTGTAGTCCAAGTGCTAGGAACTGTGTTATCTCCATATTTTTAAGTTATACTGGAGACTAAGGGTCATAGAGTATAAACTTAGAATTGGTGGTGGGGGGGGCACAAACAAACAAAAATAATTTTAATCCTGGCTCTTCCATTTAATAACAGATTTCTCATAGATGTAGTTTAAGTGTGGAGTAGGTCTATCAGCCTTGCCTACCTCCCAGTGTTTTGTGAAACTGAAAAGGTAACCTATCTGAAGATGCTCTGTAAAGTGTGAAGCAGTTTCGTTTGGTAATATTTTTTATTTAGTTTGGATTATAACATTTATTAGTTTAGTTTGCATCCCATTTTAATTTAAACCAAGCATGTTGCTTAACCTCTGGTTTGTACCTGAAGTGGTCTCCTCATGCTTTCCAGTGACAGAAAACTGCTGAAGCATCTCCATTAGTTTCTTCCTTTCCTGTTTTAACTTTTCTAGTGGCTACACTCCACTGGAGAAAGGTTGTTTTTCAGTAATGATACAAGAGTGCCTCAGACCACAAAAAATGACCAGTTCAGTTTTAGAATTTGAGCTGTAGCACAGAATCAAAGAAAAAGTGACTGGAGGCAGACGGTGTAAGTTCAGATCCTTAGGCAAGTTACTTAATTTCTGAGAATCATTTTTCTCTTGTAAAACTTGGAATAATATTTGTTAGGCTTATAGACCTGTTATGGAGTTTAAAAAAGAATTCCTGACAAGTACTTTTTAAATGTGTATTGGTAGTTTTGTTATTAATTAATTCCAGTGGTTACTAGCTTTTTTAAAGGCTACATACATTGTTGCAAATTTAGAGACTGCTTTTGATGAAGTAGAATCTTGCCTTCTATAGTTGAAATCAACTTGATTCACTGTTTCCAGGAAAAGCAATGACTAGCATTTCTTTTTTCTTGGTCATGCTTTTTGCCTTGTGACTGGCAAAACTTCATAATTTGAATGAGCTTGAATTTAAACATGAGATTCTTAAGGATCATTGTTGTAGAGGTTAAAAGTTCAAAGGAGATGCAAATCTTGTCCGGAAAGTAAAGAGAATTTCAGAACCTGAAGCATTTTACTGATGTTACATTTTATTCAAAACAGTTGCCTGTAAATCTCAAAACTGAATTCTCACACCTCCACTGGCCCACTCCCTACTCCCATTCCCAGCCGTTTAGGTTTTGAGAAGGTCTTTGTTTCTATAGTTTTAAAACCCGTGTGCCAAGAAAACATGTTTCTAATGTAGTTCACTTTGCATATCCACATAGCAATTTTAGAAAGTAATTGAAAAACAATATGTGGATTCTTTTAAAATGAGAACAGTGAGGGACTTCCCTGGCGGTCCAGTGGTTAGGACTCGGGCGCTTTCACTGCCATGGCGTGGGTTTAATCCCCAGTTGGGGAGCTAAGATCTTGCAAACCGTGTGGCGAGTCCAAAAATAAAAATAAAATGAGAACAATGAAGAAATTGTTTTAGGGGTAGGACTTATTTTTAAGAGTATTAGATTATTTTAAAACAATGGAGAGGATTAACATAAAAGTAGCAGAATATGTGACAACTGGGATATTTCTAATAATCTTGGAGGCATGATTAATTTGTTTACGTTGCCATCCATTCAAGTAGCTTAACATTTAAAATTTGTGACTTGCTTTTTATCTAAGGTTGGGGGAAAAAAAGTAATTAGGGGCCTCTGTTGACCATTACAACTGCAAATGTATTCAAGCAAATATTTGGTGTGAGGATTTAAAGGTCCTCAGTATGAAGACTAGGGTTCCTAACAGTGCTTGCCTGCCCTGTCTCAGTGTTTCTACCAGGGCACTTGCTTCCTGGCTAAAGAAATTATGTTTTTAAATTCTGAAGCCCCTTGAATGGACAGACTGGTTATTAAATGGTTTCCTCATTCTTGGGAGTCTACATTCATTTCAGAAATTTCTGTCTAAGATGTCATAAGAAATCAAGCAAGTGAAAAATTCCCAGTTGGTTGACAGCTTCTTACACATTATTTTAGGTCTTGTAAACACTTATTTCATTTGTGTTTTCAGCTTTTCTGATTATGAAATTTAGTTAATTCTGACATTGTTAGAATTGCTTTCCTGAGTGTTCTGATTTATACTTGATTACCATTCATTATACTCGGCATGTATGTAGGTGTGATACAATTCAATGATAGCTACCTCCTTTCTAAAATGAGAGATTTGGGTAGTTTCTTGCTAGGGCATAATTTGCAGTAGAAAATATAAGCTTCTACAATGACAGTAACGCTTGACTTTTTTTTTTTCTTTAAAGGATGCTTATGTGATCTCTGGCCTTTAATTCCATCCGCCTTCATAAACTCTTTTTTTTTTTGTAGTTTTTATGATACTATTTAATCATGGCATTTTATCTTAACAGACTACATTTTGTCAGATTTCTTTTGTGAGTTTTGTCACTTCTGCTTAAAGTTACGGATTCCCTTCTTCTTCTCTATCTACTTTGCTAAGTGGTACCTTTTCTGTAAAGCTTTTTCTTTTCTAAGTAAGGACCATTGCAGGGTCTTTCCTGTGCTCTCACACACCCTCAGCACACCTCTGGTAGAGCCCTTACCTCCCCCTTCTCCATATAAAATTGTGAACTCTTGTGGGAACTCTCCCTCTTTACCTTTGTTTTTGTATCCTGGGTCCTTGAAACAATGTGACTTATAGTAAGAATTAAAAATGTTTTTGGTTTGATGAAGGGGATTATGAGAACTTGTACAGATGCAGGCATATTTTATAAATTTGGTAAAAAATTTCATACTTTCTGAGTGCTCCATATAATAGATATGATAGAGAGAGGGGTTTTTTGGTAATACCAGAGAGATCATTTAGACTGTTGTCCTGTTTGACAAGAACTGACTCTTTTGTGTTTCTTTCCAGCATACAAGACAGTATCAGGAGTTAATGGTCCACTAGTGATCTTAGATCATGTTAAGGTAATACCACTATCATTATCGTCTAACCATTTATGAAGTTAAAAGCATAGTATTAAGTACTGTTTAGTACACTTTAAATCTTTTGTTATGATTTTTTTAAGCCATTCCTTGATCGGAATGTCAGTGCTATATGGAGACAAGAATTTTAGGTCAGAAGTCAGAAGATGGGATTCTAGTACTGGATCTGTTGTGGAATCTGTTTGTGGCTTTGAGTCCCTTGTCTGTAAAATTTAAAATTTTATTTGTTTGTTAATCATACCTCACAGGTTTATTAGGAAAACAACAGTAAAGTATAGTATACTGTTATACTTGTATACTGTATACAGTATATATAGTATACTGTTATACTTGTTACATTTTTGTCTTCTCTACTAAATTTTAAGGTCTTTGAGTGAGTAAACAATGTTACTTTTGTCTTTGAGGGCCTGATAACTGGTATTCAAGTAATGAATAAACAACAGATTATCTCAACAGTGACTAAAACCATAAGCAGAGAATAGTTTTTACTTATTCAGTTTGTTGAAAGATGCTTTAGTTACGTGGGGTTTTTGTTAGCCACACCTATACATAAGAATTATCTTAGAAAAAGAGGCATAGAATATAGTCTGTAATTGAATAGACCTCACCCTAGGTGAAGCCTCCTGCCTGAGTTCAGTGATTAAAATATCTTCAGAGATAATTTGTATAATATGCTCTGTAGAACAGTAATTCTGCATTGGTTGTTGTTGGGAGTGGATGGGGGAAAGGTACACAGTTATTAGTTTGTTGAGAGAAGTAATGACAGAAGTATGTTTGGCATGTGGCCCCTCTGGAAGCAGAAAATAAATTGAAAAACATTTCTTAAAAGAAAGGGCAAAGTGAACTGTCTCTTCAGCTTTATCACTAAGATATTTTTGTGCATGACAAGGTACCTATACAAATTAATTGCAAGATTAAGCATATAGCTTCCTCCTGGCCACAGTTTCATACTAGTCTGCAGTTTGATTCAAAGCCTCAGTATACAAATTGTACAAGGTTTAGGCAGCTGCCCGTTAATATTTTGTGAAAGGATGAAGCATACACTTTTATTTTTTGAGGAAGTATTGAAAGCATTATTTGCTTCTTTGTCCTTTATTTCTTCTTTTTTATATACTTTCTATTGGATAAAATTTTTGACTCATATTTTAAAAATATGAAGCTTTTATATTAGTAAATATATTTTCAAAAACAGTTAAAAGTATTCATGCTTCAACTATGTTAAGTGCTGAACTCAGCACCAAAAATACACAATACAAATACATAAATGTCTAATTGTTAAGTGCTATGAAGGGTGAGTGCAGGATGCTATGAGAGTCAATAATGGGAAGGACTTAGAAAACATCTTGGAGGAAGTAATTTTAAGAAAGCTGAAAAAGTTTTATTGAATGTTTGTTTCGGGTATAACTCCAGCTGAGGAAAAAAGTTTATGTAGTTGTAAGAATGGCTTTATACCACCAGATTTAAGAGTGTTTTTTTGTTTGTTTTTAGTTTTTGGCTCCTGTTTTTAACTTAAGGCATACAGATAGTATCAAGGAATGGATAATTTTATACAAATTGTATCAGAATAGATGATGATGGAGACTGCTGTCCAACTCATTTTCTGAAGGTAGCGCATCTTTGATTTCCAAACCTGACAAAGGATAGTATCAGAAAAGAAACAGTGTAGCTAATCTCATTCACAAGCACAGATTCCAAAATTCTAAATAAAAATGTTCTCATGTATTGGATATTAGCAAAAATATACTTTAAAAAATCAACAGGGCTTCCCTGGTGGCACAGTGGTTGAGAGTCCGACTGCCGATGCAGGGGACGCGGGTTCGTGCCCTGGTCCGGGAAGATCCCACATGCCACGGAGCGGCTGAGCCTGTGAGCCATGGCCGCTAAGCCTGTGCGTCCCGAGCCTGTGCTCCGCAACAGGAGAGGCCACAACAGTGAGAGGCCTGCATACCACAAAAAAAAAAAAAAAAAAAAAAAATCAACAGAATTATGACAAAGTAGAATTTATCCCAGTAATACAAAGATGATTTGATATTAGCAAATGTCAGTATAATTCAGGTCATTCATAGATTAAGCTAGAAAAAGCTTACGCTCTTCTCAGTAAATACAGAAAATGTATCTGATAAAATTATTTGTTTCTAAAAAAAAACAAAACAAAAGAAGAAGGAGGTCTTAGAAATAAGGGATAGAACAAACTTTTAAAACCTCTTAAAGGATAACCACCATAACTTACAGCAAACAGCGTATTTAAGGAGAGACTCTAGAAACATTCCCATTTAAATCAGGAACAAGATGAGGACACCTGTTGTCACCACCGCTATCCATCTTTGTTCTGTCTTTGTGCTTGGACCCTAACCAATGCTGTGGGAAAAAGAAATTAGGGGATAAAGGGATTAAAAAGGAAAAGGCACAGCTGTCATCATTTCTTGGTAGTATGATTAATTAAACAGAAAACACAAGTCATTCAGTGGACAAACTATTAGAAACAATGGTGTAAAACAGTGTTGCTGGATGCAGATGATGTCTATAGAAATCAGTAGTGTTTTGTATGCCAGAAGTAACTACTAGAATAATTAGGAACTTTTTACAAAAAACTGTGAAACTTTGTTGAAAGACATAAAGGAAGACTTCAAATAAGTGCAGATTCCACGTTCATGAATGAAAAGGCTCAGAATAGAAAATATGTTGATGCTCTCCAGGTAACAAAATCAGTTAGAAATAGAGTAAGAATAAAAATTTGGTGAGGGAGTAAGCAGATATTTCAGTGGAGCAAAGTTAAGATTCTTAAAACCAACTCTTCTCACACCTGAGAATTTGACTTGGTAAGTGATAAAGGCTACATTACAAGTCGTGCTACTTGTAGCACAAATTAATTTGTGCTACTCAGTAAATATTGTTGGGGTATTTGGCTTCCTGTATGAAAAAATAAAAATGAGAAAAATAAAATTACGTACCAAAAATAAATCCAGATGGATTAAAGACCAAAACATGAGAAACCTATCAGAAGACAATATAGAAAACCATTTTTATGACTTCAGATTGGAAGGTTTTCCTACACAAAAGACACAAACCATAAAGGAAAACAAGTCATTTTATTGCAAAAACTTCTGTATGATAGTATACCATAAACAAAATTAAAAGACAAAAAAGACTGGGAGCAGATATTCGCAAAAGAATATCCGACTCAGAATCTATGAAACTTATCTAAAAGTAAATAAGAAAAAGCAGATGTAGTTGAAAAGCGAGGAAAAGATATTAATAAGGCTATTATAGGAAATGAAGTCTGAATTGTCAGTAAACCTGAAAAGATGCTCAATATTAGTAGAATCAGGAAAATGCAAATTGAAAGATACTATTTTTTATTTTATCAAAATGGTAAAAATTAAAGTTTAATAATACAAGATTGGCAAAGATGTAGGGAAAAGATACTTATCTATACTACTAGCGAGTTTGTAAAGTAAAAGGTTCCTTTGCAGAGTAATTTCACATAAAAATGGACACAGCCTATAGCGCACCACTAGGTAACCAGATACCTTAGGGAAACTTGGGCCCGCATGTGAGAATGTTCATTGCAACATGTTTGTAGTAGTATAAATTTGGAACAGCCTTGAACACCAGTGGTAGAAGAACAGCTGAATAAAATGTAGTGTCACTTGGTTTTAACTATATCTGTTCTAACATTGATTCTAGATGCCCGTTTATTCATATTAGCATCTCCAGAATCAAGTGTCCTACAGTCAGTGTTGATTCACGGATGCATTGGCAGATGTTTTCCTTCACCTCACACAAAGTAGTGATGCATTTTTCAAAAGATTATGTTAATAAAATAAGGTAAATACTACTATGACAGATCCAAAACATACGGTCAAGTGGAAAAAAAAAACGAGTTGCAGGATGGTATATTTAGTATGTTATCATTTAGGTAAGTGAAACACTACAGTATATTTTTGGAAACATGCAATTTAAAATATTAAAAATGGATTAGAGGAATACATTTCTGGTTAGGAGAGTTAGATTGAGGAGGGAATATTAGCATTATTTATTATAATAGTAATTATTTTATTGTTTAGTTGCATTTTATTCCTGTCCTCCCAAAGTACAAGGTGATTACACAGCCCAGAAGCAAACATCATTTCTGAGTAGTGGGAACATAGTTTTTTAACTTTCTGTAGTCTCAAAGCTTAAAAACATATACACAGAAGGAAAGAATTTAATTGCTGTGGTTTCATAGATTTAAGATCCTTCCCTCTGTACCTTATGTTGCATTTGCCAGTATATGTGCCAGTGATAAGTGTTTTAAGGACTTAAACTACCTGAGGATATTCTAAACTCTGGATGTATACCTGTGTGCTTTGGGGAGGTATGGGGTCTGCATGTGCATACATACTGTGAAAGACATAGAAGCATATAGAGTATTTTGAGGAGCTTTTAAAATGTTGGTTATTGAGCCTTTATTTTTTTCCTATTTAGTTTCCCAGATATGCTGAGATTGTGCACTTAACACTACCTGATGGCACAAAGAGGAGTGGGCAAGTTTTAGAAGTTAGTGGTTCCAAAGCAGTGGTTCAGGTAAGCATCACTTTCAAAACCTGGCCAGTTGAACGTTTTTCTGATCACAACAAACATAAGAAACATCAGTAGTTCTTTCTGGTAATTATCACATAAGTATACAGATCTTCATCAACTTATAGGTGGGGTGACATCTTGATAAACCCATCATAAGCTGAAAATATTGTAAGTTGAAAATGCATTTAGTACACAGAACCTACCGAACATCATAGCTTAGCTTAGCTTACATTAAAGGTGCTCAGAACACTTATATTAGCATACAATTGCACAAAACCATATAACACAAAGCCTATTTTATAATAAAATGTTAAATATCTCATGTGATTGTTTTGAAGTACCGTTTCTACCGAATGTGTATTGCTTTTGCACCATCACAACCATGAAAATCTTAAGCCAGGGACCCGACTTTTTACTGGCTATGAGGGAAGAAAAGTATTTTTTCATGTTTTCTTGCTAAATGCCAGCCACCAATATCCATTCTAGCCCAATAGCTCCACTGGTAAAATGGCTTTTTAAAAAAAAAATTTTAATGGATAAAATGAAACAGATAGTCACATAGAAGGAGAGAGATGAAAAGTAGAATTCAGAGCTTATGGGCTGAAACCAAAACAAGATCTGAGTCTCCTTCTTTAAATTGTCTCTGATAATGCCTAGTTTTTAATGTTACTGATTATAGGAAGTGCCGGTTTTCTCAAATAACATATTGCTCTAAAAAGTAGATCTGGAGCAGAGGTCGGCAGAATTTCTGTAAGGGGCCAGATAGTAAATTTTTTAGGCTTTGTGAGGGTTTTGCCTCATGTTCTTACGCTTTTTCTTTCCTTTTTTTTTTAAAAAAAAACAATCCTTTAAAAATGTGAAAACCATTCTTAGCTTGCTTGATGGATTTGGCCTGCAGGCATGACCCTGGTTAAGAGGTTGGCAATTTGGTTCATCGTCCACCATGAACACTTCTTTATTCATAATACTAAAAGTAGTCTGTACATTGATGTATTTTACTTTATAAGGGCTGACAAATAAATCTTAAGCGCTTATGATCTAAATTCCTTATGCCCTTCTGTTTACTTTTCTTTCTTGATAGGTGTTTGAAGGGACTTCAGGTATAGATGCCAAGAAGACATCCTGTGAGTTTACTGGGGATATTCTCCGAACGCCGGTGTCTGAGGATATGCTTGGTAAACGGATATTATTATTCATTCTGAGCAGAGATCTGTTTCCTTTTTAACGTATTTCCGTGAAGTCTTTGTGAAGATTATGCATATTTGAGCCATTGTCCACTCTGTACTGTCTTGTTACTGTTTAACAGGTCGGGTGTTCAATGGATCAGGAAAACCCATCGACAGAGGTCCTGTTGTACTGGCTGAAGACTTCCTTGATATCATGGGTAGGGACAGAAAATCGATTTCTGTGTTTTGGGGAAAATAGCATCTATCTATCTTATACCTTTGTCAGATAAAGGGTGATTTTTATGATACTTTAAGTAGATAACCAACATATTCCATGTTTGATTAATTATTTTTTGTTTACTATTTAATAAATTTATTTTTCCTAGAGGTTATCTTAAAATTTTATATTTTATTTATTGTAAAATATCACCAGGATATATCTGAAATGTAAAAGCCATAATGGCTTTGAAATTAGGATTTCTCTCTTATTTGCTATACCTTGCATTTCACTTTACTACCATATAATTTGTGAATCTACAAAAGATTAATGGAAAAAAATATTTAAACAGTTTCAGATTTCAAAAATAACTGATTTTTTAAGAGTAGAAAGAAATGCTTTATATGCTTTGTATGGTTGTAGTCTTAATGTAGAGACATAGTAAAATTTTCCCTTTTGGAAATGCATTAGGCCAGCCAATCAATCCTCAGTGTCGGATCTATCCAGAGGAGATGATTCAGACCGGCATTTCGGCCATAGATGGCATGAACAGTATTGCTAGGGGGCAGAAAATTCCTATCTTCTCTGCTGCTGGCTTACCGCACAATGAGGTGAGAACTAGAATCTGTTTGGTATGAAATTCAAGAAGAAAGAATTTCTGAGTGCTTCACTCTTAGTGAGAAACCAAATATAGGATTTTCAAGGTAAATACCCAATGTTACTGTTTATATAATCCAATTACATTGACTCTTCATCCACACATATCTGACTTCTTCCTTACTCTTAGGAATCTGCAAAAATTACAAAATAGTTTTATTGAGTAAAGCCCTTTAAGACAACCCAGTTTCATTTATGATTACAGTTCCCCAAAGTTTAGGGTAAAAGTTACTGTTGTAGAAGTATTATTTTAGATTTTAACTTAGTTCTTTTGTACTCCTCATCAGATTGCAGCTCAAATCTGTCGCCAGGCTGGTTTGGTAAAAAAATCCAAAGATGTAGTGGACTACAGTGAGGAAAATTTTGCGATTGTATTTGCTGCTATGGGTGTAAGTATTATCTTTTTCTGTTTTAGTATGAAATGTAAAATTGCTTGTGTTATTAGAACAATGTAGAAAACTGCACATATATTATTCAGTTTATCTCTAGGCGGAGAAGTTGCAGCTTGGCATTTTGGGCAAACCATGGAGTAGTATTTAGCATTTGACTATGGAATGTAAGAATAATTCCCTTTGTGCCCAGAGCAAGCTGTTTACTCTGTTGGCTTTTGTGAACGTTCTGGGGGTACTTGAACCTTTAAAAGAAGGAGCGTGCAGATCTATAGCTTGGCCTTCATCAGAAATAAATATTGGGGGGAAAAAAAAAGAAAGAAAGAAATATTGAGCATTTTTCTTCTCCCAGCACTGATGAAGTCATTGCCATTTAGGTAAACATGGAAACTGCCCGGTTCTTCAAATCTGACTTTGAAGAAAATGGCTCAATGGACAACGTCTGCCTCTTTTTGAACTTGGCCAACGACCCAACGTAAGTAAACAAAGAATAGAGCTATTTTCCCCCTGTTCATGCAAGCTTCTGGTCAAAAATGTCACCTTACACTAAGGAGGTAGAACATTACAGTGAAAGCTACACAGGCCTAGGTATGAGATAACCGTATTTAAATTCCAGCTCTGCTTCTTGCAAGTTACTTGGTTTTGGGTAAGTCACTTAGGTTCTGAAGCTCAGTGTCTTCTTTCATAAAATGTGATAAATAATACTTGTCTCACAGGGTTGTTGTACATATTAAATGAGATAATAGTATAAGTTACCTAGCACACAGTCCATACTCAGTAAATTACCTTTTCCTCTTACCTGCAAGATCTGGCCCCTACGTCTTTCCTCCCTTTCTCCTTCTCTCTCTCTTCTTTTCTTGCTCAATTTTGAGAACTATATAGTTCTGACAAATTATGGGGCATTTATAAAATAAATCAATTTAGCTGTGTAGCACTAAGTAATTCTTATTTTGTAAATACATAAAAGAACTCTGCCTTACTTAAGAACTTTTAAAGTAATAATTGCTTAACCTTCCTCAATTTATGTGAAACTTTAAAAGGGAGACTGTACTATTATTTCTGGAATCATTTTGTTTTGTTTTTGGCCTTTTTGTTTGAGTGACTTAGGACTTAATGTTTCATTTCAGTATTGAGCGAATTATCACTCCTCGCTTGGCTCTAACCACGGCCGAGTTCCTGGCCTATCAGTGTGAGAAACATGTATTGGTTATCCTAACAGACATGAGTTCTTATGCTGAAGCACTTCGAGAGGTAATTTTTTTCTTAATTAAAATGGATTATCTTGTCAGGGATTATCTTGTCCCTCTACAAGTTTTCTTTTTTTTTTTAAAATCATGTTTTTTTAAATGCATTGCTCATATATTAGTAGAATACCTTAATTAATCAGAAAAGAAAATATTACTTTTGTCAACCTAATTGAATTAGAGGATGAGATTTAAATTATTAGCCTATTTATCATACTCTCACTGTCTCCATTGATTAAGACTGGATTCTTAGAGTAAATGATGCAAGCTGTTTAATCAGTTACTCTCCAAGGTAGTTCTGTCTCTGTCCAGACTGTCAGTTTTCAGCCCTTTTCAAGAGCTTCATTTTTAATGATGTAAATTTTTATTTATTTCCATAAGTGAAGACTACACTCTGGCAGAACCCTCTTCAGAACTTTTTTTTCCTTCAGAAAGCTCAGTGATTATTTAGAAACAATGTAAGATTCTAGCACTTACCATCCAGAAGTGTGGGGTGTTTGTTCTAATGCAAGTTACTGAAATTTTGAGTTACTTGCTCTTTTAAGTGTGCAACAAAGGGAAGAAGACTTCTGAAGAGACAGCCTATATAAATATCTAGCCTAAGATTCCCTAAGATCCATCATCATATCTCACTCGGCTACAGTGTTTTTTCATTGAAGGACTTCTTTTCTCCCATCCATCACAAATACTTTTCTAAAAGGCAGTAAAAATAAGTATTAGAAAAGTGAAAATTAAAAAAAAAAAACGATTTACAAACCCTTTTATTAGTAGTATTAGATTCGACAATTATTCTATCAAATTGCCGCTAAAGTTTTCTATATGTTTATCTTGCTTTCTACATTATCTCCTTACAAATTGATAAAAGCTGGTCTGCAGGCCACACTTTGAGTAGCACTGCTGGAGCATACTCTTGGAGGAACCAGAGTAGCAGTTAGAAGCTGGGCTTAATGATTTACAGTTCTTGTTGGCTGTAGATTAAAATGTATGCATATATTCTAGTGTGCCTGTCTCTAAGAGAAAGACCATTTATTACTATTCTTATCTTGTGCGGTGATCCAGGGAAATTATCTGGCCCTTGATTCCGGTTGTAAGTTGGGGTTAATAACATTAACTTCCTCATAGGGTTGTTGTGAGGATTAAATTAAATAATGTATGTAAAATGCATCAGATGATTTCTGATATATGTATTTCCTTCCCTTTTGATCTTTTCAGGATTAGCTTATGTAAATCTGGCAAGATCCATAACGTGAAGTAAATCTTGTGAACTGAGAATGTTCTCTTAGTTTTAAAATGTACTACCTTTGATTTATAAAATTGCAAGCAGATTTTCTTCTAGCAAGCTATTTGAAGATTTGTGTTATGGCAGTATGATTTTAGCAGAAAACTGTGGTCCCCAATTGTCAACATTTTTGTTGCAGAATAATCTGAATTTATGTTGCTAGATTTTTCTTAATCATTTATAGAGGTGATATTTAAAATGAACAAGATATTTCCAACTTTGTAATTTGGCCTGTTCAAACAAATGTGTTCTAACCAAGCTTTAATTTTCATTTTCTGGTATGTGATACTGTTCTCCTTGACTCACTGTCAGGTTTCAGCAGCCAGGGAAGAGGTTCCTGGTCGACGAGGTTTCCCAGGTTACATGTATACAGATTTAGCCACAATATATGAACGTGCTGGTAGAGTGGAAGGTAGAAGTGGCTCTATTACTCAAATTCCTATTCTCACCATGCCTAATGATGGTAAGTTTAGGGTCTTTGGATTATAGCATCCCTAATCGTTGTAAGGACTTTGATTTTAAGAGAGAAGACCATCTATCTTTTTGAGTTGAAGTTCTTTTGAGAGTTTATCCTCCAGAAGTTTACCTTACCTAGTGATTTGTTTCTAATAAAATTTTTCATTTCAAAACTACCCATAATAATTATTCTTTTGTAGAAAAATTTTCTTGTACTTCTTATTTATTAGCTAGTATTTAGTGTCTACTGTTTGCAGGACACTGGTCTAGATGAAATGAATTTTTAAAAGATTTATGGGCTCTACTTAATGTAAGCTACTCATTCTAGGTGGATATTTTTTAAATGTATGTGCATCAGTAGTTTAAGGTAGCTTAAGTGCCAGATATAGAGCACAGATAGTAAATGCCACGAGACTCTAGAGATAGAACGATCATCAAAGGCTTGCTAAAAATTACTTGGTTTTATCATGTGTGTCTAAGTGCACAGTGCAGTGCCTGCCTGGATGTATGCCCAGCAGCCCCCGGGTGAGACTTTCAGCATTCCCCTTATGTTAGTGTCTTTTTATCTTTATCTCAGTCTTTTAAAAACACTTCTTCAAAATATTTTCAGAAACAGTAATAACTCATTATAACTGAGCACTGTTCTAAGTGTTTTGTAAGTTTTGACTCATTTGATCTTCATAGCGACTTCTTAGATGCTCTCGTGTGAGGCACAGAGAGGTAAAGTGTCACAGTTAGGAAGTGGCGGCTTTAGAACCCAGGCAGTCTGGATACTACCTCTGATGTGAAAATGATTTGTTCCCAGGAAGCAGCTACAAAATTACTCTCTGTAATTTAACAGACTTAGAGGTGTCTTGCTCTGTGGGACCTGCTTGGTGCTGCCTGTGTAGTGTTGCTTAACTTGTTTAGCCTCTCTGTATTTTCCATGTTGAAATGTTATGTATCCCTCTGGGATAGCTTATGGATGAAGAATGTTCTCTCAGTCTACATCAAATTGGCAAATCTCTGCAAATGAGCTTTGTGTTTAAAATGGAACTTTATTTATATTTGGGGGAGAGAGAGCATAACTAGGAGAAATAGTACTTTTTATGAATAGAGCTAATTTAACTTGTGTCGACACGTGTCTAACTGTGCTGCCGCCAGATAAGTTAGACTGGCCAATACGGCAACCTCTAGCCACATTTGGCTGTTTAAATTCTAAAGTTTATTAAAATCAGATAAAGTTTGAAATAAAGTTTTTCAGTCGCATTTAGCCGCATTTCACATGTTCAGTAGCCACATTTGACCAGTGGCTGCCATATTGGACAGCACAGATAAAGAACTTTTCCATCATCACAGCAAACTATTTTATATAGCACTGTTTTAAGTAGTGCAGATTGACTTCCTGTGGTTTTGTTTTTATGAGATGGACACTTTAACTAACATCAGGTGTCTTTCTCTGGTAGATATCACTCACCCCATCCCTGACTTGACTGGATATATTACAGAGGGGCAGATCTATGTGGACAGACAGCTACACAACAGACAGGTATTTGACAGTTGAACGATGCTATAAGCCTACAGATCTATTCTTCAGTTATTCTTTAGTGACTCTGACTTTGCTCTTAGGAATTATTTATTTAGAAAATATAAGCAAGAGGGAAGAGATATGGGAACATATGTATATGTATAGCTGATTCACTTTGTTATAAAGCAGAAACTAACACACTATTGTAAAGCAATTATACCCCAATAAAGATGTTAAAAAAAAAAAAAGAAAATATCAAATTGCATTGTTTTTAATATGGCTATAAAATTGTCATTTCTGTAATACTAAAATCCTGGTGTGGAAAAAAGTGCCAGAATTAAGAATTAAATTTCCACTTTCTTTATTATGACTTAAAATGGAGTGAGTTGTTCAAAGAACTTTTTTGGGTCTTCTGTTCCATAATGGTATAATCTACTTTTGTTATTAATACAAGAACAGATTTTTCAGAGTTTTTTCTTTGTCTTTTATTGTTAAAATTTTTAAAAATTGAGGTATAATTGACGTAACATTACATTAGTCGCAGGTGTACAGTGTCATGATTTGATATTTGTATATGTTGCAGAATGATCACCCCAGTAAGTCCACTTAACATCCACCACCTCACATAGTTACAAAATTTTTTTTCTTGTGATGAGAATTTTGAAGAGCCACTCTTCTAGCTCCCTTTAAATATGTGATACAGTATTATTAACTTACATAGTCACCATGCTGAAAGTTCCATCCCCATGACTTAACTCATTTTATAACTGAAAGTTTGTACCTTTTAACCTCCCTCACCCATTTTGCTCACCCCTCATCCCCTGCCTCAGGCAGCCACCAGTCTGTTCTCTATCTGTGAGCTTGACATTTTGTGAGATTATATGGTATTTATCTTTTTCTGTCTGACTTATTTCACTTAGCATAGTGCCCTAAAGGTCCATCCATGATGCTGCAAACAGCAAGATTTCATTCTTTTTTATGACTGAATAATCAAAAACAGATTTTTTATTGGTTCTTTAATAGATGCCAGCTTCTGATATCAGCTTTTAGGTGAAATTATTGTGTTTTTTTGTTTGTTTGTTTTTTGTTTTTGTGGTACGTGGGCCTCTCAGAGCCGTGGCCTCTCCCGCCGCGGAGCACAGGCTCCGGACACGCAGGCCCAGCGGCCATGGCTCACGGGCCCAGCTGCTCTGCGGCATGCGGGATCCTCCCGGACCGGGGCACGAACCCGCGTCCCCTGCATCGGCAGGGGGACTCTCAACCACTGTGCCACCAGGGAAGCCCTATTGTTAATCTTTTTATGTGTGATTTTATGAGTCAGAGTTCAGAAGACCATTTGGATTTGATATTATAGGCAGATGTTGAAAATTCAGTTTTTTAATATAATCTTGTACTATTTTGTAGATTTTACCTTTTGGATTTGATTCTCAAAAGAAATCTTAACCTGTAAAATGTTTCTTCCTTTTCTTATCAGGAAAAGATATTAGGAATCATCTAGGAAACAAATGTAGCAGTGTTATGCAATTTAAGCAATAAAAATGAGTTTCAAAATCCTCCTTTACTACCAGTAAAGCTTGAATTTTGTACTTAAATATAATATTTTCCCCCTTCCCCTTTTACCCAAGATTTACCCACCTATTAATGTGCTGCCCTCGTTGTCGCGGTTAATGAAGTCTGCTATTGGAGAAGGTATGACCAGAAAGGATCATGCCGATGTATCTAACCAGCTGGTACGTATGTTTTCTCCAGGATGGTGTTTAAAGAAATGAATACTTTCTCAGTTCATTCTGCTGTCTTAGACCTCTCGTCTTTCTTCCATATCACTTTTCTTCTCCCCCATCAAAGTAGAATTTTAATATAGAACATATAATATAGAATAGTGGAATACAGAAACATTCATTAGAGCCTTTTTCATAAGGATAACTGCTCATGACAAAGATTAAAAATCACATGCTTGAAACCCACCTCTAATGCTGTATGAGGTAGTTTTTAAATAAAAAAGGCATAAGACGATTAAGTTTTTATTAGTAACCTTAATTATAGAGTATTTCTGAAAGACTATTCTAACTAATTTTTTGTTTAACATATTAGGCAATCACCAGAACGCTAAGGGATACAGCTGTATATATTCTATGAAATCCTTGGTTGCTATAGTCCTGAGATTGTATACCAAGCATAATTAAAGAAAAACACATTTGACCTTAAAGTAGAAATGATAAATAAACCCAGTGATAACACAGATATTTTTTTTTTTAATAGAATTTAGAGATGGATTTCTCCTATTGTGTAAGTTGTGATTTTTAAATGCTCTACAAAATGTAAGCTCACTGGTATATTGAGGGAGTGTATTTTTTGTAGAGTGTTAGTAATGCCTATGTACTGCATGCTTGAAGACTCCTTTCTTAGTGAGACTACGTATAATAAAGTCTTTCCAGTACTTGCATATGAACTTTATGTGAATTATGTTTGGAAATCATGTGAAATACTGTGAAGATAGCTACAGCAATACACTTACATAGCCCAGAGTACCGTTACCATTTATAAAACCTTATCTCTGTTCGTGTAAACCTTTTTTTCCTCTTTAGTATGCATGCTATGCTATTGGTAAGGATGTGCAGGCCATGAAAGCCGTAGTTGGAGAAGAAGCCCTTACGTCAGATGATCTGCTTTACTTGGAATTTCTGCAGAAGTTTGAGAGGAACTTCATTGCTCAGGGTAAGATTACTGTTTTCCTATGAATAGAAACAGCATCATATGTAGTTTTGAGGAGGACTTCCTTCCTAGTCTGAGAGAATTTACATTGGTCTCCATACAGTTTTCCTTCTGATTAGAGAAGAGGTTCTTCCAGCCGCCTGCCATGTCTTTGTTCTTAGCCCTCTGGTTCCTTCCCCTGTACCTTCAATTTCTTTATCCATTTATTTAGCTCCTGTCTTGTGTTTTCTCTTCCTTAGAACCGGCCTTCTGCTCTCCTGCCTCCATTGCCACTTCTCCTCCCTCTTACCCTCTCTGCAATGCTCTCCTCTGGCTTTGGGGGCTTTGGACTTTTCCTGTCCATCTATTTTCATCCTCCTGATTTCTCATCTTCCTGCTTCTTAATTGTTAGTGTTCCCAAAGGCTTAATTACCTGTTCTTTCTGTGCTTTTTTTCCCCTGTGCTGATGACTAACTTCCTATGTATGAGCCTTTCCCCTCTTTCTGAAGCTCTAGTCCCACATCTTGAGCTAGGAAGCCTTTGTTTATGCCACCATCCTCTCTGGCTCAGCGTGGTGAGAACCAAAGTATTTTCCCAACTGACCACCTGCCTAGCAATTCCCTTTTCAATTTCTGTCTACCTCTGGCATGACCATTACCCTAGTTAGCCCAAGCTCAGGCATTGGGCATTCTTAACCCTCTTCATTTATTCTCCAGTCATCAAATATTTGCTAATTTGCATTGTTCTTCTTTAAAACATCTTATCCTGTTCTCTTTTCATTCCTATTAAAAAAATTTAGGCTGGTGTTTCTCAAAATTGAATATGCTTTTGAATCTACCAGGGATCTTGTTGAAATGCAGATTCTGATTCGGTAGATCTGGGTGGGGCCAGAGAGCCTGTATTTTGACAAGTTCTGGGTTATCTTGAAGCTGCTGATCTCTGACCACTCTGTGTGTCCCAAGACCTAGTCCAGACCTTTGTCCCATCATCCTTGGCCGTTAGTGCCAGCATCTTCACCAGTCTCCCTGACTCTCTCTATGCCATTGCCAGGGTAAATTTAGTATTAATTTTATTGATTGTCCTTCTGTTAAAAAGTCTATAATGGTTTTTATTACATAGCATGTGTAGGGCTTTCAAGCTATTTTGTTTGTTCTTTTCCCTGCCACCCCTGCTAATGCTGGTAAACTCTATTTTTGACCTCAGTGATACTTACAAACGATGTGTTTATTTTGGAATAATGCATCAGCTACACACTTAGGATTTGTGCGCTTTTCTATTTATGTGATACATTTTTTAAGTAACATTAAAATCCCCAGAACGTATGATAGTTGGGTTTTCTAAAAAAATAAAAAATAAAAAATTACACAGAACCTTAATATCTTAAAAAGATAAAAATTGTTCTGGTAGACAAGAGATGCAGAACTCTAGCCACTCTAACTCCTTAGTTAAAAAATGAGATTTATTTGCAGGATAAGAATGATTCTGCTATTAAGAATAATAATAGCAATAGCAAGTTTGAAAACTTTCACACGGACCTATTCAGGTGCTTAATGGGCATTTAAGGCCTTCTGAGTATCTGTACTAGCCTCCTTCAGGTCAGCCTGTGTTCCTGGGAAACTGCTTTTCTCACTACTCTCTGGACAAAACTCTGGGTCTGGTTTCCATTATTCAGTGGAGTGTGTTTAGATCCCACCCGTTGTTAAACACACACAACACACGCGCACACACACACACACACAGCCGCCGAACGTCTCGCCTGTGGGCTTTCTCCCTTTTCTCTGGTTCCCAGGGGTACTTATTGTCTAGACCCTCATTTCCACATTAAGTCACATCCAGTCCTGGGAGACCTAACTGCTTTGTGTCTCTTTTTATACTTCATGCTTACAGTGCTAGTTCCATAACAGAATAAATTTTGAATAATGCTGAGAAGTTGGAAGCACTTGGCCTTTATTCATCTAATCTCAATTTTTTGTAAGGTCCATACGAAAACCGCACTGTCTATGAGACTTTGGACATTGGCTGGCAACTGCTCCGAATCTTCCCCAAAGAAATGCTGAAGAGAATCCCTCAGAGCACTTTGAGCGAATTCTACCCTCGAGACTCTGCGAAGCATTAGCTGCTACTTCATCGCTGGCTCGATGCTCTTGTGAAATACTGGTTCTGTTTTCTTTATTCCTTTTGCACTCCCCCATCCCCACCTTTGTGTTGGAGTTTACTGTGTTACCCTGTAATTAAAAACAAGGAATAGGTAACATATTGTGCCAGTGTTGCAATGTTTTAAACTGCTAACAGCCTTTAAAATATCCCCTGTTCAGAAAACCTGGAACTTCAATGCTTTGTTTAAAGTAGCTGAGGGTTGGAGGTGAAGTTTTCTTACTGATGTGTGTATTTGTACATAGTGGTGTAGTTAGCTGCCTAGTGTCCTCATTATTTGGGTCTCTCAGACCTTCCTTGTCCACCCCCTCAAGAGTATCACTATCTGAAGTTATAATGCTTTGATCTCCAAACTAGAGACAAGATAGGGTCTGAAAGACGCTTCCTCTCAGAGCCAAGACACTTTCCTGAGCACTTGTTCTTAGATTTTGGTGTGCCTCTGGGTCTGTGCTGCTGCTCTAAGCAGATGGTTTTTACTGTCCACCTGCTGTTTCCTGTTTAATGAATAGATTAGAAAAGGAGTTTCCTTTTCCTCTTTGGTACGGATAAGTTTCAACTCCTGTTTCTTACTGTTCTCCCTCCCTCTGAGTAACACAGAATCGTGCAGGTTTTGCCCAACTGGCCTTGATCTGATAGTAGTGAGATGCCCTGTCTTGATGATCCTTACTGGGTTTCCATGCAGAGGAATCATAAGTAAAATAATTAATAGAATTGTTGGTTGGAAAGAGTTGGGATACAATTTTTTAAGAAAGAAAAACCTATATCGGTTCTACATTTGGACATGCTAACAGTGGTTTTAAGTTTCTAAAGTGTTTACCAGATGCTAAAGCAAGGTGGGGAAGAGAAAGCTCTTCTGTGTATGGAATTTTTTTATATATATAATCTATGGATATTTTAAACTCTGTTAGATAGCAGCCTTTGGAAAATCCCCTATTTGGTCCTGCTTTCTGACCTATCTGCCTTTTCAGGGTAATCTTGTGGCACAAGTGATAGCATTTAAAAGCTTTAGTCTTTTAATTCCTCCTCCTTCCTGCTGCGAGCCCTGAGCTGTCTTCTATGCACTTCTGACATGTCTACTGTTTGGTCTCTCTGTGTTCTTTGTTACTTGGGTGCAATAGCAACTTCTCTGTGCATTCCATCTTTCTTTCAAGTTGTGTAAAGTTCTTCATTTTTTTTCTCTGAGGGTGTAGGGGTGGGGGGAGTCAGCATGATTATATTTTAATGTAGAAAATGTGACCTGGATATAAAATGAAAATAAATATTAAGTTAAATGGAAGTTACCTAAAGTGACTCTGTATCTTCTAATCAGAAAAGCAATAGCAACAAGCAAATATATAATAATGCATCTCTCTTTGATTCACAGTTTTGAACATCATAACCAGTATTGTGAACCAGCCCCTTGATTCACAGTATTATGAACCATGTCCCCTTTACAGGGACATGGCCCATGTTTTGTACCCTCTGCCTTTTAGGCTGCCCTTTCAAGCTCTTTTCAGTAATACCTTTTCCAACATATTGTAGTTTGATCCAAGGTTGACAGTTACTAAGGTGTGGGGTTTGTCTGTTTGTTTTGTAGATCATTAGTGGCTGTAAGTTCCCTGAAACTTGAAGTTTTGATTCAGGGTCCATTTAGCATTTTCGAGAGTTACTAAGGTGTTTTATAGCATTCTTTGTTTCAGACATTCTCAGGACCTCTAGAGCCTGTCTGCCATGAATGAAAGAGGGTAATAAATAGAAAATGAAATACATACTGACGCAAGCCAAAACTTGCTTCAAATAAAATCTGAAATAGATGGTCCAGTAGATAAAGAAAACATACTGGTTAAAGCACAGGGATGTGGCATCATGGTGGCCTCCCGTTTCTTTCCCCTCTTCAACTCAGAGTGACATTTAGGACATGTAGGGGAAGAGGCTCAGTCATAGCAAGAGTAGGTGGACCTGTGTTCTGATTCTGGTGCTGCCACTAACTGTATGGTCTTGCTTAGTCATTTAACAGATTTGTGTTCCTTTCAGGGTTATTATAATGACTAGAGATTTTGTATGCAAAGCGTTAGAACAGTGCCTGGTCCGTGGTGTAGGCACTCATATAGTAGGCTACTTTTAATACCAAAGCTTTATTAAGGGAGATTTGACTTACTACTCTTAAATAATACTTAGGATTAGTTAGTTAAGTAGCATTCTTGTTAGTTTGTTATTTTTTAGTGAAAACATTTTCTTAGTGTACCTTTTTGTGCCAGTGATAAAACTTAATTGAAAGACTAAAGTTATGCTTTAACATGGACTCTCACCATGATTAAATGTTTTAAAAGGTTTTCATTTCAGTTGGCTTAAAGTATTTGGGAGGAGAAAAGTCTCTTCAGAGTTCAGCCTATCTAAATAAGTCATTAAGCATTTATTGCTTGCAGCTGGCTGTCACTTGGGTCCATAAGATTTCATGTAAGTGAAAAAATGTTTTCAGACTAATGTAATAAATGCCTCACTAAGATGTTTTATTCTCAGCAAGTGTGGATGGTGCACAATGTCTGGGGTCAATAAAAGCATTGTCTGCTTTTGAAATTTTCTGTTACACTGGTAATGGAAAGTTAGCTTAGTCCAGTATTAGGGAACAACAGAAAATAGTTCCCCGGACAGAACTGAAAATACCATTTAGAGATGACAAGAAAAACTTAGCGAGGCAGTTCTTGAAGGACAGTTATCTTTTATGGAAAACTTAAGTACAAAGAAATGGGGTTTTTTGTTTGTTTTAATGAAAATCATGTTCCTTACTCAGCTACCAACTGTGGTTTTATTCCAGACTTTTTCCAGTCTGGAGTTGAATACCTGCCTAGTACTCAAGGAAACTATGCAGTGTCCTCAAGTTGCCCCTGCCTCCGTATGAAGCCCTGCACTGGCAACAGTGAGCAGGTGACTGGTGTTTAGAAACAATGAGACTAATCAGTCCAGGAGCTTTGTATCCTCAGCAAGAATAGCAAAACCTGCCCAGAAAACTTGCTAAGTGTTTTCAGGCAGCTGGGCAACCTGGGAATTGTTGATCCCCCCACCCCCTCCATGATCAGTCTGCTGCAGTTCCTTGTAGAGGAAAGAACAGCCTCCACCTGTGATGAACGAGGCCTGGGCTTGGCCAGTCCCCCTGGTGGAGCTAAGGGTACCCAGCCTTGAGTAGAACACAAGGCCATTTGCTGTGATTAGCAGCAGTAAGTAGTACACATATAACAGACCGCTTTTCTCCAAAGGATTTCATCTCCAAACTCCAGAGTGTTTTACACATTTAATAAATGTGTGACTTGTTCGGGGTCATGTAAGCTCACATGAGCTAGAACCTGGGTCTTTAAACCTAGTTTAGAGATCTTTCCAGAGCACTCTGGTAACAGCCAAAGGTCACTCCATAACTGAAACAGGCATCCACAAATTCTGGCCACTGTCTGGAAACCAGGACTTCGTGTTGTGGCGAAAGTTCTGGTATTTTATGGGACATAATGGTACTGTGAATGTAAACAAAAGGCCTTGATGGGCTAGGATCAAGAACTTCGGGGCTCACACCCAAAAGCTAAGCTCTTCTGGGGAAGCAAGATGAGACAGTAGCCTCAAAAAGCTACTAGATTACTTGCCAGGCGGTTGTATTCTTCATTTCCACAAGAGGGCAGCAGCTCCTGAAGAGCCAGGCACTGGCTAAACATTGAGCTCCGGAAATGGAGACACTTTTTAGCTGCAGCAGAAGGGCAGTCAGGGTTCACTGAATCAAATGATGTCTTTTTGGAGCTACACATTAGCCTGGGGGCTATAAGGGAACATGATCTGATAATAAACCAAAACAAACCAAAATTGGTACAAAGAGGCCTGGATGTAGAACCAGGAGATCTGAGTTAGAAGGATCATAGAGCTTATCTGGTCCAACTCTCCTGATAACTAAAGGCCCTTTTAAGCCTCTGAAATGGTGAGGTCCAGCCTCTGGTGAGTCTGGAACTGTCTCAGGAGGGAATCCACTCCAGGGATGGACCTCTCTGATGGTAGAAGTGTTCTTTCTAAATCAGGGTAAAACTTGTCTCCCTGTAACATCACATAGTGGCATCCTTGGCCTTTCCCCCAGGGCTCTTCCATGTGATAACCCACCACCACTTTGAAGATAGTTGCCACTTCTAAGTCTTCTTCAGTCTAAATATTTCTAGTTCCCTCAACTATCCCTCACTTGATGGGATTATTCACCCCTTCAGTAACCGAATAGGTTTAGGACCCAGATCTAACCTTCTAGAACAGTGATCTTTGTACTTCAGTTCTTGGCTTTATGCTGTCCCTAGAAGAAGGTCTCCAAAACGTAGATGCTTAGCCCATGGAAATCAAGTTCTTTCCCAAGCAGGAAGCTGGAACTGAAGTCATGGAAACATTGTCTGTGGTCTTCAGGAGCAGCTGTCATTGAGGCCAGGACTGTGATTCAAACTTAGGTTACAGTATGCTCAGAGCTAAGATACTCTGTTCTCTGGTTCTGTTGTACTTTTCCCCAGGATCTGCCACTCAGCAGCAATCAGGTGTAATCCAAGCGCTATGGAAGTTTCATTAACGGTTTACTTAATAAATACAATACTCATTGTACAGATAAGACTCAAGTACAGATAAGAACAAAGAAATAAGAATCCCATAATCCTGCCACTCAGTGGAAACTATTAACATTTCGTCATATAGAATCCCTTAACAATCATGGCTTTGCCAAGGGTGGCTTTGCCCACCCATCTTTTTAAGCCAAAACCCATGGTAATTATGGCTTCTTCCTCCCACAGACTGTGTATACGAGACTGTGGGACTCATGTCAAGAAGAGGTGTGTTTAAGCTATAAACTCTAAATATGTAAAAGACAGTGAGCCCTGTGGTTTAATCAGAGTGCTGGCAGAGTTAAAACAATACAGCTCGTAGATTTCTCAAATCGCTATAAAGGGAATTATGGTCCCCTAGCAGTACTTCTTAAAAGCCCTTTTCTTCTCATCGGCAGACTACTTCTGTCTTCAGCTGCTTTGATCGAAGCCTCAGGGAGGGTTGAGGAAACCATTCTCCGTCACGCTTCTTCCTGTGCTTCCCTCCCCTTTCCCATCATGAGATCTCAGGAACCGGGATGAGGAGGGTGAACCCAAAGGGAGGGGGGCAAGGAGACCAGGCTGAAGCGTGAGTCGAGGTAGAAGCACTGCGGCCCCCACTCGAAGGCAGGGTCAGGGTAGAGGCTGAAAAGTCTGTGCTCATTTCTGGGCCATCCAGAGGGAGACTCAGCCCAGGAAGTGTACCCCTAAGTGCTTCAACAACCTGCGAAAATACCAGACAGTTCTCTGCACTTTACCAAGGATTCAGATGCAAGAACGTGACTGTGAAAGATGTTTTAAGCCAGTAAAGACTGGCGTGAAGAAATGTGATCACGGGAGTTCTCTGGTGGCCTAGTTGTTAGGATTCTAGGCTTTCACTGCCGTGGCTTGGGTTCAATCCCTGGTCAGGGAACTGAGATCCTGCAAGCCATGGGGCGAGGCAAAAAAAAAAAAAGGAAAAAAAAAAAATATATATATATATATAATCACAGCTTCAGTCTGCATGCCATGGTTTCCAGGAGAATCTTTGAAAAATCATGACCTGAAGCACTGAATGTGCCCTGGAACATTGTAGGTCATGCAGGAGAG